GGTTGTTCCCCGCCCCCTCCATGCCCGTCCATAGGAAGGAAGCCTGGTGGAGTAGTCTTTTCCCCTCCCCCTCCATGGCGGTCCATAGGAAGGAAGACTGGTGGAGAAGCCTTTACCCTCCCCCTCCATGCCAGTCCATAGGAAGAAAGACTGGTGGAGTAGTCTTTTACCCTCCCCCTCCATGGCGGTCCATAGGAAGGAAGACTGGTGGAGTAGTCTTTTACCCTCCCCCTCCATGGCGGTCCATAGGAAGGAAGACTGGTGGAGTAGGGGGGTTGTCCTGCTGTCTGTATCCTCATTAGAAAGATTTAATCTCACTTCCTGTCCTTGAGACAACAGGAAATCTACCCCTGCCACGGATGGGCGGAGCCAGCCTTGATCTGACGGGTGGCTCCGGGCCGCTTGCAGAGAGATCGGCGTTCCAGTTAACCAGGGACACTGATCTCCAGACAGCCCAACTCTCCCGGGCGCTGCCGTTAATAGATAGCGGTTCCCGGCCGACCGGGAGAGAGAGAAAGTTTTGCGCAGAGTAAACCATTCCCTCCTTTTTTTTTTATTCCGACATCGAGCCGTTAGAATAAAAAATAATAATGTCACCATAGGAATGCATTGCTAGATTCCTATTGGCTATTTCAATTTGCAATAGCAAACTAGCTATTGCACCCGCCCACTGCTGCTGTCAAACATGAAGTGAATAGCCGAACGGCGTTCATCTCGCTTCGGGTCGGTCGTTCACTCGGCTGCCTACGGGCATCTTAGAGAATAGACCCCCAATTGTCACAGGGACAGGAAGTGAGGTGAAATCTTCTGTACAGGGGGGCACACCCGGCAAAACAAAACTGACTGACGGAACGGGGCGGGTACCGCCTCTAGATAGGAGGAGCCAGCTGTCAGTCACGCAGCTGGGCGGATCCAGACAGTAATGTCGGGCTGCGCCCCGGCTGCGGCGTCTCAGTGTACCGCGAGCTGTAGCTCCCTATATACTGAGCCTAGGGTGACGGGAGGACGCTAGTTTGTGTTACCCCGTTACCTTTATGAGAGCTATGGGGAAAAACACTGACACCGTACTTCTCCTTTAAGAACAAACCTCCAGTCCCCATCTTCTACGTAACCCCCGGCGACTTCCTGCATTTGTCAGTTTTCGGCCTTCTCTCTCCGGACACAAAACATACAAATAAAGACGCAATTTTTTTTTTTCAGATTTAACATTTATTTTACAAAAAAAGAAAGAAAAAAAAATAAAAATGAGGCGGGTAGTTCCGCCTCCAGAGGCCTCATTCACACTGCCGCGCGTATTGTACCATATGCAAATAAATGTCTCCGTACACACAGCCGCGTATGGAGCCGTATATTTGCGTAGCGTATACATGCGCAAAAACAGAATGGAACCGAGGTGCGTCCGGGCAGCGTATTTTACACGCATACGCATGTTTGCGCGTATATACGAGCGTCTATGCGTACAGTTCATCGAAATTTCCATTAGGAATGATGCATTCTGGGAATGCAAAATAGTGCACGCATAGACGCTCATGTATACACGCGCATAGACGCTCATGTATACACGCACATAGACGCTCATGTATACACGCGCATAGACGCTCATATATACGCATAGGCGCTCATATACACGCGCATAGACGCTCATATATACACGCGCATAGGCGCTCATATACACGCGCATAGACGCTCATATATACACGCGCATAGGCGCTCATATACACGCGCATAGACGCTCGTATACACGCAATATACAATTTTGCTTGCGTTGTGTGTGAATGAGGCCTAATAAAGGACCGCAGTCCAGAACCCTTAAAGGAAAGGAAGACTTTAAAATAACCCCCCCCACAC